AGAAGCTTCCACTTGGACGGACGAGGTACTCTCCTTCACTTCCGTTGTACGAATCTTGCCAATGGACAAGTCTTGAATTGCTTCCGAAGGGTCTTTGTCTCCTACATCAATTGGCAATTGCTCTACTTGCGAGCTGTTAGATTCATCAAACTTCACATCTACCGTCTCTTCAACCTTTCGGGTGAAATTGTTGTAGACACGGTAAGTGTGAGAGTTTGAGCCATAACCAAGTAGGAAACCTTCATGAGATTTAGGAGCAAATTTAGAATGACGATGCTTATCAAGAATGTAGCACTTTGAGCTGAATACTCGAAAGTATCCAACTTGGGGTTTGTTACCGGTGAGGAGCTCGTATGCCGTCTTGCCGAGTAGCTTGTGAAGATACAAGCGATTTATTGCATGACAAGCTGTCTCAACCGCTTCCGCCCAAAAGTGCTTTGGCGTTTTGTACTCATCAAGCATCGTTCTTGCCATCTCGATAAGAGTCCGGTTCTTCCTTTCAACAACTCCATTTTGTTGAGGTGTGTACGTAGCCGAGAACTCGTGTGAAATCCCTTCTTCGTCAAGAAAGGTGTCCACATTTGCGTTCTTGAACTCCGTTCCGTTGTCACTCTGAACCTTCTTGATCTTCACGTTAAACTGATTTTGGGCCTTCCTAGCGAAGTTTTTGCAGATCTTTTGGACCTGCGATTTGTCATCAAGAAAGAATACCCACGTAAATCTTGAAAAATCATCAACTATGACTAGACCAAATGAGTTACCACCGAGACTCTTGTAGGCATTTGGACAAAAGAGATCCATGTGAAGTAGCTCGAGTGGTCTTCTTGTGGTCATGATGTTCTTCGCGCCGTGACTTCCTCCAACTTGTTTCCCTGCTTGACAAGCACTACAAAGTCTATCCTTGTCAAATATGACATCTTTTATTCCAAGGATATGATCACCTTTAATAAGCTTATCAAGATTTCGCATACCAACATGACCTAGTCTTCTATGCCACAACCAGCCTTTAAAAGATTTGGCAATTAAGAAAGTTTTAGGTTGAGCCTTTTTAGTGAAATCAACAATGTAAAGATCTCCTCTATGTATACCGGTAAAGACCATTTTATGATTATCTCTACGAAACACTTGGCAATCTACTTCAGTAAATAGGACATTGAAACCGAAATCAGCAAGTCTAGATACTGAAAGTAAGTTGTAGCCAAGAGATACAACGAGCATGACATTTTGTATGGAGCTATCATGTGAGATGGCCACCTTACCAAGGCCAACCACCTTACCCTTTGAATTATCACCAAAAGTGACATACTTTCGAGGGACGTCATTTTCAGCAAGCTTACGGAACATGTCTTTATCTCCAGTCATATGATCAGTACATCCACTATCAAGGACCCATTCCTTTCCTCCAGCCATGTAGCCGCGAAGATTTGCCATAAGACCAAAGTGTCTCATCGCATCATCGAGATCATAGTCACTATCATCATCATCATCATCCTCATCCTCATCCGAGTATTCATGTTCAACATCATCTTGTGATTGATCAATTCCTAGAGAGGGCAATTCATTAGATAAATGATCATTTCTATAGTTATATTTATGAATTCTAATAGCTCTGGAAATGATATTGCTAATGATTCCAACATCTCCTTTGGCACTCGTAAGATTAGTAAGCTCAAATAAGCAGTCACCAAATTTGGGATCATTGGAACTCATCTTAATCAAAGCAATAGACTTATGGAGGATTTCATCTAGATCTTTCAAGGAGTAATTAGGAAAGAGTTCCTCAAGGAATTTCCATATGGTGTAGGCACACTTAAGAGTCGGCAAACATCCAATCAAGTTTCTAAGCAAGCCTCTAGTGATAAGATTAACAATTCTAAGATTGCGAATCATATCAATATCTTCATCTAGGGTAGGGTGCAAAGGATCAACATGAGGTGCACAAGGGCTAGTAATGTACTTGTTCAAATGATATTCATTGAAAATCTCAACCATTTCATTTTTCCACTCATGAAAATACTCTTCATCAAGAATAGGCACTCTATGTCTAAGACTCCCCAAAGTAGACACATCCATCTTCCTCCAATGGTATTTAAACAAAGGCAATGGAGACCAATGCTCTGATACCAATTGAAAGGATCGAGAAGAGGTGTCTAGAGGGGGGGTGATTAGACACTAAGTGCCAAAAGTTGCAGTTTTTAATATTCTTAAGTTTAAGTGAAGTTTAAGCACAACTTTAACAAACACAATACATATCAAGCAAGGATGCAATGAGTATATGAGCAGCGGAAAGTAAAGCATGCAACTTGCAAGAATGTAAGAGAAGGGTTTGGAGTATTCAAACACAATTGGAGACACGGATGTTTTTGTCGTGGTTCCGATAGGTGGTACTATCGTACATCCATGTTGATGGAGACTTCAACCCACGGAGGGTAACGGTTGCGCGAGTCCATGGAGGGCTCCACCCATGAAGGGTCCACGAAGAAGCAACCTTGTCTATTCCATCACGGCCGTCGCCCACGAAGGACTTGCCTCACTAGCGGTAGATCTTCACGAAGTAGGTGATCTCCTTGCCCTTACAAACTCCTTGGTTCAACTCCACAATCTTGTTGGAGGCTTCCAAGTGACACCTAACCAATCTAGGAGACACCACTCTCCAAGAAGTAACAAATGGTGTGTTGATGATGAACTCCTTGCTCTTGTGCTTCAAATGATAGTCTCCCCAACACTCAACTCTCTCTCACAGGATTTGGATTTGGTGGAAAAAAGATTTGAGTGGAAAGCAACTTGGGGAAGGCTAGAGATCAAGATTCATATGGTTGGAATGCAATATCTTGACCTCAACACAAGTGTAGGTGGTTCTCTCTCAAAAAATGTGTATTGGAAGTGTAGGTATGTTTTGATGGCTCTCTCCATGAATGAAGAGTGGGTGAAGGGGTATATATAGCCTCCACACAAAATCTAACCGTTACACTCAATTTACCAATCTCGGTGAGACCGAAGGGAAAAACTCGGTCGGACCGATTTAGTAAATCTAGTGACCATTAGGGTTTTCAGTGGGACCGACTAGTTCAACTCGGTGGAACCGATGTGGTAGGGTTAGGGTAAAACCAAAACTTGGTTTGACCGATTACTCAAACTCGGTGGGACCGATTTGGGTAATAAGCGAAACAGAGAGTTGGCCAAGCAAACTCGGTGGGACCGATTGCATATCTCGGTGGGACCGAAAATATTGCAATAGGTAACAGAGAGTTTGCAAGACCATCTCGGAGAGACCGAGATCCCATCGGTGAGACCGAACTGATTAGGGTTTCTGGCAGTGGCTATGTTAACTGAACTCGGTGGCTCCGGATAGAAAGAATCGGTGGGGCCGAGTTTGACTTTTGGTTTAGGTCATATGTGGATGTGGGAAGGTAGTTGAGGGTTTTGGAGCATATCACTAAGCACTTTGAGCAAGCAAGCCATTAAGCAACACCTCATCCCCTCTTGATAGTATTGGCTTTTCCTATAGAAGACTCAATGTGATCTTGGATCACTAAAATAGAAAATGTAGAGTCTTGATCTTGAAGCTTGAGCCAATCCTTCGTTCTTAGCATCTTGAAGGGGCTCCACATCCTCTAGTCCATGCCACTCCATTGTTGAATTTATCTGAAACATACTAGGTAAAAGTGTTAGTCCAACAAGAGATATGTTGACATTAATTACCAAAACCACCCAGGAAGCACTTGTGCTTTCAACCTCATTCCCTATAAGTTTTCTATTCCTATGATATTCCTACCCCATGGACCAAAGGAGACCTTATTAATTTGTTCTTGTAACATTAATTTATTTCAAATTTTGCTACTCAAGTTGTACTAAATCAACAACAATTAACATGAATCGGATGAAGCAATTAGGTAATCGTAGGCTTAAAATATTGCCTACATTATTCAGTAGAAGCAAACATTATGCTACACAATAAGGGTTCTCTCTCATCCCGACTAACCGGATAAACTTGTTTGCCCCGTGAAAATCGCGCAGCTCATAACGCTCGGCTTGGAAAGTCATCACGAGACACACGCCTTTGAATATAATTTTTGAAAAATCAAATGAGGAAAAATACATGAGAATTGCACTATTATGAAATTTCTATGAATATCCTCTATGAAATGTGGAAGAAAGAATTTGACATATTGCTTACCTAAAAAATAAAGAATTTGACCTGTAGTCGTATCCTTGAAGAAAATTATTTGAGTTATTTTTTGCGGTGATTGTTTTGTTAGGATTTTCTTTCAATTTTTTTTGAGAGTTGATGGGCGGTTGCACACGAGTTGTTGACTGCATTGCGTGAGCGAGAGTGCTATGTGTTTTCATTATTAATATTTTTAACACAATAGCTAAATGTAAGTCGACTGACTTTCATTCTTGGGCCAGTTGATTTTGAGAAGGGCGAAGAAGTTCGCCAGAGAGAGGCCGGAGAGAAGGAAGGAGCTTGCTGGAGGGCTACCGCATCATCTATCGTTGATGGGGGATGGGGGCGGCAGCACGACGGTGGTGCAAGTTCACCGAGGAAAAACCGGTCATCGTTGGGGCTAGAGGGATGGCGGTGGGAGGAGGTTCCGGGGAGGGCGGGGCGGTAAGGCTGCGCGGGAGCGTGATCGGCCGCGGGTGGTTCGGCCGCCGGTCCGTGCGGGCTGGGGAAGAAGAAGAGCTGGAGGAAGAAGAATGGCCAGGCATCGTTGGATCTTTATCGGATGTTTCAAAAACGATAATTTAAAAGTTAGGCGACTTGTCTAATTTTGACGGAGCGGAGCAGTCCCAAACATGCTGTTGTTGGTGCTGTGTGCTCGCCCATTTTCAGTGTCCACCACACGTCTCCCTCCCTTCGCGCGTAGGCCTCCTTTGGTTTCATCTTCCTCGCTGCTCTTTTCCGATTCAAAACTCCAACCCCCTCTCCCCTCTCCCCAACCCCCCAAACCCTACCATGTCCTCCTCTACCGACGCCATGGCGTCGCCTTGCTCCCATGACCAATTCGACGGTAAGCGCCTCTCCCCACAGCCCATCCCTAACCCTAGCCCCAGCCCAGATCCTATCTCCGCCGCCTCCCGCCGCAGAACCAGACCGTGAGACGGTGCTGAACTACGTTTTCCAGGCGACCTCCGACGACGAGCTCTCCATCTTCAAGGGTACGCTGCCCCCGTCCCAGATTCCGGCCCTGATCCAGTTTTGGTGCTCGAATGCTAACATTTTGGGGGGCCCAATCCGTTGCAGAGCTGGTCACGATAATACTGGACAATGGCAGGGGCCGCCCCAAGGAAGCGATTGAGGAATTGAGGGTGGAAGATGTCGGGCAGCTTGAAGGTTTCAGTGCGCTGCACATTGCGGCCAGTAAAGGGAGTCTGGGGGTGTGCAGGTACCTCGTCGAGGAGCTGCTGGTAGATGTGGATCTGGTCGACAAGGAAGGTCCATCTATCTTCAGAACCCTAATCTATTGGTTTAGGACCCTGCGCACACATTCAGTCTAGGTTTTGTCAAATTGTATGAAGTGCTATTTTACATGCTGGAATTATTGTTCACAAGGGTTGCTTGATCTGTAAGTCTCATGATACCTGACTGTTTTTTGCTTTCTCTGGGTTTGGCATAGAGGTGCATTATGATAATCCAGCTTTTTGAACCAGCTTTCGCCGCGCCTCCAAGCTCAGCACAACACAGTCCAGCAACCATAAACAGAGCCTAAGATTATCTACGTCAGTATGAACCAATGTATCATAACCACCAATATTTATCTCACAAAATTAAATTATGATTTATCATATTCTGTTGTGCTAACTCATGATCATGCAGCTTTATATGAAATGAATCTGTCTTTTTAAGGGAAGAAATTAGTCAGGCTTAATTATGATACTGAATGTGAATACCCTACATAACACCCGCAAAAAAAAAGCCCTACATAAGCACCGCTGATATAAATAATTAAATAGGCTACTCTTTGAGGGCAAATTCTTTATTTTAGGATAGTTTGGTTGTTTAATTATTGCACATATGTATGCACTCCAACTCTGAGGATGCATTTGATTCTTCTATTCGGGTAGTCTAATATCTAATTTTCATGTGTCAGTTCCATTTAACCAATACTCTCTCGAGCATTATGAAAATCCTGCTTCATATTATGTCTAATTCGATGGGTCTACTTTGTGTGCTTGGGGAGCCATATCTAAATTCCATGCTCTCAGAGAAGACAGAGCAGTGTTAGGAAACTTCTGCGGTGAGATGCTTTTGAAGATAAGACATACTTTGATACAAAAAAGATCGCATTTCTTGCTACACCGAGAAGTGCGTTGATATAATTTCATTTTTGTCTGTTTGTCTGCTTTATAGGTAGAACACCTCTCTTGTTTGCAACATACCACAATGGGGGTACTGCCGAATATCTTCTTGATCATGGCGCTAATCAAGACAAAGCTGACCACGATGGGTCTTCCCTGTTACATTATGCCGCTGAATTAGGTCCACCTCTATAAACACATATCTCTGTTCTGCATCTCTGCATTGCAAATTGTTTTTTTTTATCTTAGTCAGAGCTATTTGCCTTTGTTTCATATAGTAATTTACTAATATTGTTCTTGTGCTAATAATTTATCTTCAAATCTGATGGTTAGGTTCTTGTGATGTGTCTCTCTATTCGGAAGTACATGTTGTTTTAGACTTATTAGGCTGTTTGAGAATGCGCGACATATTAGGTTTCCAAGTAGAAGTTTGGTGGTATTTCCTGATATACTCTTAGCTGTACTAAATAATAATCTTGCACACGCTTCTAGTCAAAGTCATCGATATATTTGTGTTTAGCCATTAGCGAAAGTTCTACCATCTGCATGCATGTATTGCATCAAACCAGGGCTCTTTGTGTAGCATAATTACTAATATTTTGAACACTTTAACATGGATATAGTGTCCATTAGCTGTTGTGCATGTGCAATATCGTAAATGTCACCTAATTGGGAAGTCAAATAACCTAATACATGTCACTATAGTTCCAGTCTTACATGGGTGTGGTGTGACAATAATCTGATAACTGGCTTAATAACCTGGTTACCAAGTGGCTATAATCGATAACCTGACAAGCGAGTGGCTCTAACCTGGCAATTAGTAACTAAAAAAAGTTACCGAAACATATCTACGTGGGATCTAGTTTCGACGGTATCATTACAGCAAAGCCAACAATGAGAAGTTGAGCACAGATCGTCAATCGGATACACGATTTGAGAGATAGAGAGAGAGAGGGAGAGGTAGGAGAGGGAGAGAGAGAGAGGTGCAGGACGGGAAGGCTCCGGTGCAATGCTGCTACCTAATCTAGTCCTTTTATTTTTTTCATTCTCTCTTATTTCTTTTTGTGTGTTCCCTTTCAGGGTTTCCTTGCGAGACTGGCTTATTTGGTTTCTCATATTACATTCTTACATAGAGATAAAAATACCTTGCATACTAACTAGATCCATAAAACCAGAATTGTTGTGTTTGTGAACCAATCTCCTGTTACTGAATTGGAGAGGTCCATGCTGCACTTTTGGAAGTAGGAAGTAGTGAACTGTGAACCTGATGAACCATGAATTGAGTAACCATGCTGAAGATCATGGTCTTATCTTATTGAATATCCCCCTTGATGGGAATTAGGCCCCATCCCTAAATACCCCTATTAAAAATTAACCTAATTATGATTTTTTGGCTTTTATTCCTTCCAATCCAAACAAGTCCGCATTGGGCTTATTGTAACACATGATCAAGGCAAACACAGGTCCAGGATACACCAGAAACAAAAGAAATTGTCACAAAAAAATACCTATCATCTTACCTTATAAGCTCATGGATTCTTTTTAGAAGAGATTGCCAGAAAACACCTCCCCTCTTTGTAACAAGTTCCGTGTTTTCTTCCAGGCAATTGTGAAATGGTAGAGCTTTTGCTTGCAAAAGGAGCTTATGTTGACCCGGTGTCTGCTTATGGAACACCACTTCATGTTGCTGCTGGTAAAGGGCATTATGGTGCTATGAAGATTTTACTGGACCACAATGCAGATGTAAGTTCAAGTACATACCATTTCTGCCTCAAGTTACTCTACATGTTTCAACTTTAATTATTTGTGTTTTGCAATTTTTTCCCTCGGCTTGTCATGTTCTACTTAATTGATTGTTTATGGTTGCTTGATGCTGCTATGGTGTTTGTGCTGCATAGTTAACTCTTGAAATCATCAGTACAATTTTTCTTTTCTTTTGCGTGCCCCTAGTTAACTTCGCCTATGTTGTCTCAACATAGCCGGTCCCAAGCCCGGGTAAAGGAGGAGGGTTGTGATAGGCTTGGCGAGCCAACGTAAAAACTCAGCCATTCTTATGGAGATGAACATTTTGGGGCGTAACCCTCTCAGCGATGCGCTACATCGGAACCCGGGTGGTGGAAAATGGGCAAGGGCCGGGCCGTCACCCCCAAGGTGGTGTGCTGTATCTTGATCCGGATACGGTGGCAAGTGAGCGAGGATCGGGTCGTCGCATCCTTAGTGGCGCGCTACATCGGCGCCCGGATGTAGTGGAAAATGGGCAAGGGTCTTCGCATTTGACTCAACGAGTGCGAAGGGTAAGGAAGCTAGCCAAGCCTAGGAGGATTCGCTTAGGTAGCTGGAACGTAGGGTCTCTGACAGGGAAGCTTCGGGAGCTAGTTGATGCAGCGGTGAGGAGAGGTGTTGATATCCTTTGCGTCCAAGAAACCAAATGGAGAGGACAGAAGGCGAAGGAGGTGGAGGATACCGGCTTCAAGCTGTGGTACACAGGGACGGCTGCAAACAGCAATGGCGTAGGCATCTTGATCAACAAGAGCCTCAAGTATGGAGTGGTAGACGTCAAGAGACGTGGGGACCGGATTATCCTGGTCAAGCTGGTAGTTGAGGACTTGGTTCTCAATGTTATCAGCGCGTATGCCCCGCAAGTAGGCCACAATGAGAACACCAAGAGGGAGTTCTGGGAAGGCCTGGAAGACATGGTTAGGAGTGTACCGATTGGTGAGAAGCTCTTCATAGGAGGAGACCTCAATGGCCACGTGGGTACATCTAACACAGGTTTTGAAGGGGCGCACGGGGGCTTTGGCTATGGCATCAGGAATCAAGAAGGAGAAGATGTCTTAAGCTTTGCTCTAGCCTACAACATGATTGTAGCTAACACCCTCTTTAGAAAGAGAGAATCGCATCTGGTGACTTTTAGTAGTGGCCAACACCCAGATTGATTTCATCCTCTCGAGAAGAGAAGATAGGCGTGCGTGCCTAGACTGTAAGGTGATACCTGGAGAGAGTGTTGTACCCCAGCATAAGTTGGTGGTTGCTGACTTCCGCTTTCGGATTCGTGTCCAGCGGGATAAGCGTGCCAAAGTCGCTAGAACGAAGTGGTGGAAGCTCAAGGGGGAGGTAGCTCTAGCGTTCAAGGAGAGGGTCATTAAGGAGGGCCCTTGGGAGGAAGGAGGAGATGCGAACAATGTGTGGACGAAGATGGCGACTTGCATTCGTAAGGTGGCCTCGGAGGGGCTTGGAGTGTCCAGGGGAAGGAGAAGCGAAGATAAGGATACCTGGTGGTGGAATGATGATGTCCAGAAGGCGATTAAAGAGAAGAAAGATTGCTTCAAACGCCTATACCTGGATAGGAGTGCAGACAACATAGAGAAGTACAAGATGGCGAAGAAGGCCGCAAAGCGAGCTGTTGGTGAAGCAAGGGGTCGGGCATATGAGGACCTCTACCAACGGTTAGGCACGAAGGAAGGTGAAAGGGACATCTATAAGATGGCCAAGATCCGAGAGAGGAAGACGAGGGATATTGGCCAAGTCAAATGCATCAAGGACGGAGCAGGCCAACTCTTGGTGAAGGACGAGGAGATTAAGCATAGATGGTGGGAGTACTTCGACAAGCTGTTCAATGGGGAGAATGAGAGTTCTACCATTGAACTGGACGACTCCTTTGATGAGACCAGCATGCGTTTTGTGCGGCGAATCCAGGAGTCTGAGGTCAAGAAGGCTTTAAAAAGGATGAAAGGAGGCAAGGCGATGGGCCCTGATTGTATCCCCATTGAGGTGTGGAAAGGTCTCGGGGACATAGCGATAGTATGGCTAACCAAGCTTTTCAACCTCATTTTTCGGGCAAACAAGATGCCAGAAGAATGGAGACGGAGTATATTAGTACCAATCTTCAAGAACAAGGGGGATGTTCAGAGCTGTACTAATTACCGTGGAATTAAGCTGATGAGCCATACAATGAAGCTATGGGAGAGAGTCATTGAGCACCGCTTAAGAAGAATGACAAGCGTGACCAAAAATCAGTTTGGTTTCATGCCTGGGAGGTCGACCATGGAAGCCATTTTCTTGGTACGACAACTTATGGAGAGATATAGGGAGCAAAAGAAGGACTTACATATGGTGTTCATTGACTAGGAGAAGGCCTATGATAAGATACCGCGGAATGTCATGTGGTGGGCCTTGGAGAAACACAAAGTCCCAGCAAA